AAATCTTGGAAGAATGAGTCTGTTAGATGCTGTGAAAGGCTGTCGTTCTAAACAAATGAATGCTGGTGATGTGCAGATTGTTACTAAAACATCAATACCACAAATATCAGCTCTTTAATGCTCTAAAATCAATTCTAAAATAAAATGATACATTGATACATCAGTCATTTCAGGTAACAAGTACACAAAAGGAAGTAACTAAACTTGAAATATTGTCTAAATCATGTTTGGCAGGAACTACTTTTTCTTGTGCCTGGGTAAATGCCTAAGCGCAGCAGCACATGCTCAATCGGTCACTCAGTCTGTGGATGTTACATGTTCAGTATTTTACCACCAAGCCAATCTGCAGAATCCAGTGATCAGAATCCAAATATYTATCCAGCTCTGTTCAACTAGCTGGAAATATATTTGGATTCTGATCACTGGATTCTACAGATTGGCTTGGTGGTCTCCTGGTGTTCTKCAAAACAGCATTGGTGGCTATTCAGGYCATGTCCTGGCTGCCTGACCATATGAAAGATTGCCGTTCTATCAGTACTCAGACTTTTGCCTTGAGCAAGCTGGATTCGAAGTGGTTCTGCTGAGGGTCGTGGGCCGGCTGTGGTTCCTGGAATTTGCTGGCAAGATGGAATTCATCTTGGAGAAGCTGATAGCTCAGCTCGGCTGTRTTGTCCACACTATTTGTCTGTTGGATTCGCCACCTTGAGATGTACCAGCGGACATTAAGGCAGAAGGAAAATTGTTACTGTCTGCCTGACTGAAAACATTTTCTCCGTTCCCAAACAATTGATTACAGATTCATCTCACCCCCCACGTGACTGTGAAGGCTGTGGATCTAATTTCTTCGGGGTGTTTACGTCAACTTGTGGCTCCTCCCCCACCTCTCTCACTCCTTSTAATCTGATCCCCTGAAGGTCAATCTGGAGCTGCACAGAATGAACAATTCAACACCAGTATTCTGAACTGATGGCTGAACTACGGGTTTTTCTTTTGGGAGGCTGGGTTCTTCGGACTCATTCCCTCTAAACTCACTTAATCCTCTGGCTAATAAACATGCTCTTGCTTCGCAGAGGTTTTTTTTTTATAAACACCGTAGTGTATCATATTTCATTGATATAATATGATGTTTTTTTTCTTCATCTAATCTTATGTGGTATATTCATTTTTTCTTTTTAAATGTAGCACGACCCCTGCTGGTTGCCATATGACCTGATCACCTGTTCCCCCATGTTTTTGTCATGTGTGTCTTCTTGAATGGGTGTTTTAAAATGTAATTTCATTGTGCCCTGTACAATGACAATAAAGGCATCATCAAATCAATCAAGATACTAAAAATAATAATAATATGTTCAGGGAATGTAAATTCCGATGTAGATTTTCTTTTTCATTGAAGTTCTTGATAATTAAATAACATTTTATTTGAATGGTTTTATTAATATTTTACTTATTGTACTATTATTTTACTTCATTTTTTATTGCTTAAAACACCATTTTCATGTATTTTGTAAGATTATGCCCTTTGTTTTTCTTTTCAATTTCTTCGGCTCTGACGTCTCGTATTCTTTATGAAGCAGTGATTTAAATGCACTTGTTTTTTAGATTTACCAGACACATTAGGTGTATTTGCACAAAGTATCAGTACTGTAGTAGTACTGCAAGTACCAACCTAAGTTTTACTCAATTTCAGAATATCGAACATCACTAATGAATGTGAAAGGCTGGTTTATACTTCCACAAGACATGAGACAGTAGATCAGTCATTACATCATTTTAGGTATCTTTTCTGAATGTGTGTGTGTAAATGGGTGAATGACTGTAGTGTAAAGCACTTTGGGGTCCCCATAGGGTATTGATAAAGTGCTATATAAGTTCAGTCCATTTACCATTTATCTTACCAGGAGATAATTAATCATAATTTCTCTCTCTGCCCTCCCACTGAAGTACACGTCGCTCATAAACAACAGTGATAGCAAGACATCCATCCATCCATCCATCCATCCATCCATCCATCCATCCATCCATCCATCCATCCATCCATTATCTGTACCCACTCCTTCCTTTCAGGGTCACTGTTGCCCATATCTAGCGCTCACTGTGTGTGGGGCGGGGTACACCCTGGACAGGTCGCAAATCCATCACAGATCTTGACAGCAAGACAGTCTTTTTTTTCAGTCAACAATGCATCATCTGAAGAGAGGCTTGTTGTTGGACAAAGAGAAGTAGGAGGAGGAAAAACTTTTTTTTCCTTGTTAACCRCAGAGACRAAACAAAGATGTGGACKTCAGTGGCACAGTCATATGCTCAATAGGACCGATGAGCTGCTCCTTAAAGCTGTCCATTTAGCTAATTTAACAGCTGGYTTTTGGGAGAAAAATTAAGAAGCATGCCCTACTCCACATAAACAAACACATCCTCAAAGTTCTGACCAATCACMCACTGCAAACTGCATTAATCTTCTAGATAGATTTCTGACTGGGRGCAATTCACAGGGGGTGGGTGGGGGCCATCGGAAGATAACTGACGGAAATTTTGCAACTTTCATCATACAACGCTWAGTGAAATTTGAGAATGGAAGGATAAATATGCCTTTAAGGACATTCTGACATTAAAAAGTGCTTCTGAATTTTGCAACAAAATATTAACAAAACAACAAATGTTTAACTATAAATGATTTCCTTTTACAAATGTTCATTTTAGGTCAMTTTTATCTATTGATCTGTATTAGATACAAGTTTCTGCTGGTTTTGTTTTCCCTTCTGTTGAAGGTCTTGTATTTCACAAGTTTGTTTCACTGTCTTTTAGTCAGACTAAAGCTAAATTTTAACATGCAAAGTTGGAGCAAAGGCAAAGGAAAAAAGAAAAGTCTAAATTTTTGAAGTATGATTCTGTAAAGTTGTTATCAGCAGTCAGTATCTTACCTGWTGCAGACAGCAGTTTACACGAYATTGGTTTGGATTTTCAAAAGAAGTTTGGATGAAAAGTCATGCTAATGGAAAATAAGATTGGAAACAGTCCTATTAATTATTTTGTGTGTACATGTTTGTTTTTTCAGTCTAAAAAACATAGACTTCAATAATTGTCTAAMGTAAAAGTAACAGCAAATAAAATGGTAAAAATATCTGAAAATGTCTGATTCAGGAGTTATTTTTTGATGTGTACATTTTTCTATACTGGCCCAGTCAAACTGTTCAGTTCTTCAACAAGAACTTCTAATTATTATTCTTCAAAATATTGTTCCATTCTAATACTGCCACTGATAACACTTCCACAGAACCTCACATTAAAAAAATAAATTACACATCTACATTTTCTTATAAATTGTGATCAGTTTCAATAAACTGGCAGTACTAGCCTTGGCTGAGGACTRCAATTTCTTCTTGTTATTTTGGAGTTGTATGATGCTTTTTAATTCCATTCACACTACCTTGGTAATAAGGTGCTTTAACATCAAAATCTTTTTCTTATTGATGGTTCTTTGTGTTTAGATGAACTCATATATGAATTAATGGAAGTATTATACTGTTTACCTAATCTAATGCCTTTCTTGGCAACCAGCGGTTACTGCTTACTTTAAGAGCACCACTGTTCCACTACATTCTGGCTGCTTGTAGCACAGATAATGAGGCCGTGTTTCAATGCTGTTTTTGCAAACTGTGAGGACTGAATATGAGGCTTGCCATATGGTACGAAGCCCAGTGTGAAATCTGTCATCTTGGTTTTGCAAGCTAGAAACTTGCAGACACAAACCATTTAAGTGGATCGCTCCTACTTCTTCGGTTTAAAGTGACAGGAAGAATGCAAACACAGATATCCACAACCATAACCTGAGGAGTGGGTGGGGGGAACAGCATAGAAAAAGATGGAAGTTGTTGAATAATTTTTTTAAGCAGGGGTGGGCAATCCTGGTCCTCGAGGGCCGCAGCCCTACATGTTTTACGTTTTTCTCTGCTCAAACACACCTGATTT